CAAAATACAGAAAGTTTACCAGGAATATGTTAATTCACTTTTTGAGGCAATCTTCAGCCCATCTGCCCAAAAGCATCATTTGCTATGCGGCGTTAAATTTATCTTTGACATTTTGGACAGTGAGGCTTCTGCACGTGATATTAGTGTCAATGATTTGAAAATATGGAAAAACAACAGGTACGATGACTAATATAACTAAGAATAATAATAATAATAATAGTAATAACATAATATGATGATGATGCTGATGATAATGATTATGATGACGATCGCAATGATGACGAATGGTAATAATCATGATGATGATAATGATGAAAATAATACTGGTGATAATGGTGTTGATGATAATGGTGCTGCTACTATTAATTATGTTAAGATGATGGTGAAGATTATGGTAGCGATGATGGTAGTGGCAACTCTCTTCCCCCTAATATACGGGAATCTCCATCACTTCCCTATTAAGGCCAGACTATAAAAAAATCTTTTCTTATCCTCATCTGAATATTTTTCTTATTTGTTGATGGTTTTTGTTGTTCCATTTTTCTTGTCTCGTCTCTTCATCTTATTTGTGTCTTTTTTTTTTAACGTGCATGTAGACCTAGTATTATGCGCTATTCAAAATTCTTTACCTTCATAATAATGTTGACTCTGAGAATGGCAATAACGATGTTAATGATGAATTGATAATCTGCCGGTGAAAAGTTGTGCTTTTATAAACCACAACTGTGTTAGACTAGAAACAAGTTACACCGTTCGATTTGAAAGATGTTGATAACATTTTCAAGGCTCGACAGGAATTAATGGCACATTTGTTTTATTCTTTAGCTTTGCTGAGATGTTTTGTGTTCGAATCCTCACCCACCCTGCCTTCGTATGTGATATCCAGCAAACGCCACCTATTGGCGTCACTATGGATGTCATTTCAAAGGTGTTTCAAGACTCTTGGTCGACGGAGCTCTTTAGTTTCAACAAGGTAAATCGAGAGGAACCGGTTTTTATCATCATCTAACGTTGAACTGAAAATAGGTCCTATTCTTTTTTTATTCTAAAGGACATTAATCAATTTATTGGGCCAAATTTACGTGTGGATTTATTTTCTTGTTTAAAATATATCATTCGGTATCATTCAGGTTATCAGTGAAATTGATTATATTTTGTTTGTTTGCATAGTTATTTACTGAAATGTATGTTATCACCATATTGTATTTCTATTCTTTTTTATTTTTCATTTATTAATTCTAACTTTAGAATTCTTTCAGTCATCGGCAAATGTTTGTGAATGAGATTCCTCGGTATCGCCAAGTTGTCTCAAGTTTCTATAGCGACATAAAAAGTGTCACGCCTTGCAATCGCGAAGATGTCATCAACGAAATTCAACCACTTCTGGATGTAAATAGACATTTAGTTACCACTACTAATGCAATTAAACTTTTACATAATATATTAGTATAGCAAATTAATTTTGCTTTTTTAAAATACCTTGTCATTAATGACCAATGTCCAGAAATTTTCACTTTTAAACACAAGTATGGTAGAAATAAGCATGTAAATATTCCGGGTTTGTGAACATTCCATGAATTTGTTAACATATTCCTCGTGATGTTTGTGATAAAGTTTTGTACAATTTTGGAGGGCTTAGAAGAGATTTAAAACGCTGGGGCGTATACAGAGTTGGAGTGGGGGTGGGAAGTGCAGACAGTGCGATCGCAGCCCCCTTATATGTATTAAGAGAACTATTGTTGTATTGTATTATTGATATGAATTACCGGTAAGATTTTAAAGGTATGAGAGTGCAATTTCCGGACACCTAAATATTCATATTCTCAAAATGTTCGCGCCTCAGCCCCTACCATGTTGGGGTTGTGGTGGTGTCGAC